AATTATTTTATCCCCTTAAAAATAAACGTGTTTCTGAATCTCTTGTGTGGGTAACAGCCTTTGCAAATAGACGGGAGCAGGTTTCTTGATTTTCTCTCTATTGCTGACAATTTTCCTTCTCCTGGTTAACTCCCTGTGAAAGCAATTTGCCCCATACTCAGGAAAGGTAATGAGCAGATGGTACCATTGTAAATGATGATGCGCTCATAATAAAGAGTTGATAAACACAGAATTACAACAGGGCGGTGGGCGCTAAACAGCACAGAGGTCTGCCGAGTGGCCTAGAACATTTCATGCTGCCCGTTGGCGCCCTGTGGCAGACCTGAAACTTCCATTCCCAGCGTTTGCTTTCTATGATGAGCTGTGGCCATGTTGAATTGGACATATCTTTGAAATTTTTGGTTTTTGTTTTAATAAGAGCTGCAATGTGAATTGCAATGTGTAACCTAACCATTCATGGAAATTTTGACTTGTCTTGTTAAAATAAAAAAAAAAAAAATAAAAAAAAATGCCGGGAACAAACTTAATTTATGAAAACAGTTGGACATATGAAAATTGGGATTTTCTTTTTTCCTTCTTATTATACTGTAAAATTAATTACACAGTCTAAACTAACCATTTAAGTAACACTTAGACATATAATATGAAATGCAATCTATCCATCCATCTTTAACCTGAGCATTTATGAAAATTATTCGAGTTGACATGGAATCTTTGCAGTGTCAATCATGTGCACGTTACCCTCTGCTCACACTTTTCCTTATTCAGTATTAAACACATTATCCTGCTCTGTTAAACAACAGTATTAACTATGCTAAAACAAAGAGGTTAGTGAATCAAGAAAGATATATAATTTACAATATTCAAATCTTAAAGGTACAGTAACTTAGGGTGTTTAATTAAACGATTATACAGTCAATACTGAATTGCAACTGTTATTGAAATAAGAAAACTTGACCAGCTTTATACGTGTGGAAATTGTAAAGAATATTATTTGTATAGTAACGCGAAACTGACATTCAGAGAGTGTTTGGGATTTGTTGCCCTCCAACAGATGATGTTTTAGCCACATAAATCGCAGCAGCTTATGAAGTGTAGTAATGTTTTATTTTTAGTGAACAGTATGCTGTAAACTTCAATGAGACCTGAAATGGCATTATACTTGGCTGCATCAATCACAGAGATGTTTTGGAGTAGTGTCGAATGATTCAGGGAGCGTGGGAGTTCTCATTAAACCACTAGTTGTGTGTCACAACATATGAATTTCAGGGAGTTTGACATGGTATCAGCACCTTAGGTATATTTAGATATTTATATAAACAAGGAAATTGGGATATTTGCAGTGAATGTAGAAAGTGTATGAGCTCTCAGCGCAGACAGTTCGGTGAATGAAGAGTCATCGGAGATGATTAGAAAAATAATGGTAATGTTTTTGTCAGCCACGCCATCCCTTAGCTGTTTTTACAGTGGAAACCAGCGTCGAACACTCTCAGAGTGAGGAAGCAAACATCTCTCTTTGAGATATTTGCAATGTAGCAGAGGAGGGCTGGAGGCTGTAGGGCAGTTGAGTCTCTTTCATGTGCTGCTGCTTGGATCTTATGGCCTGGATCCCAGCTGAAACACTCGACATGTGTGGAGCTAAGTGCCCACTAATTTCCCTTTGGATCTCAGACCATGATGTTGAAGTGTCTGTCTCAGGGTGTGTGTGTGTGTGTGGATGTGTGTGTCCTTCCCTAAGCTCTCTCTTAGTAGGGGATTGCAGCCAGAGCCAATCATTCTGTGTGTCTCCCCTGCGCTGTTTGTACATCACTCCGCGGAGGCATTGAGATACCCGTGTACCGTCCTCATTTATTTCTCAATCTATAATTCATGTATTTACTCGTTTGTTTGCCTACAGATATGACATGCTACTTATGTTTTCTGTTTGTAGAGATATATCAGAGATGTCCAAGAGAAAGATCTAAGTGGTTGAAAACGGAAGATGAAAGTGTGTTGAGAGGGATTTTTGCATGAGAGGGTTTAAGACTGACCCAGAAGGCCACAGATCAGTGCATACATTAATGGATGTGTTACTCACTGTCCGGTCCTCATGCATATTGCATTGATCCAGAAGATAGAAGCTAAGCCCTGAGCAGCGTGTGCACTGCAACAAGCACTTTTTCTGAAGTTTTTGCCAAACTTCCAGTTTGTTTTTTTACACCAAATGATTTTCGTCCAAGTCTTTAAGATTTGGAGTCGCTTGCTGTGAAGGGATCAGGACTTTTAAAGCAAGGAGATTTGGAAAATTTGATATTAAAGCATAGGCGTCATTTGGGGAGGGTGGGACATGTTCCCAGCACTTTTTGACAGGGTCGATATTGTCCCCAACATTTTTGAAACATCTCGCGACACGGATGTACCAATGCACATAAAACCTCTCCAGTTAACTAGCAGCATTTGTTTCATTTGTTGTGTTAAATAAGAGACGATCTAGCGCTGAAATATGTTGTCTTCACTCGGACGCACGTTTCAATCCGTTGCGCAGATTCTTATCGTTCTGTTGAAATCACATATCAAAATGCACACAAACGTGTCCCTATTTCTCTGGCTTCTAATCCGCACTGGTAATATATATACTGGTTAATATTTATGATAAACTTTATCGGTTTTGATGATGGGAAAAAAAAAGAAAAAAAACTGTACCAGTGCGGATTAGAAACCAGAACCAAAAATTCTGCCACTGGACCATTACAGTACATACATTACAGTACACCTTATTTTTTAACGCAAGATGATTAAAAAAAAAAAAAAAAAAACGCAAGTGGCCCTTTATACCTTGAATCTGCAAGGCTTCCAGTGTCAGCCAGTATTGTTTTAGATGTACAAGTACAGTTATGCTGCTTGATGTTGCAAACTGGTATTTATTATCATATTATTTTTGTATTTATTATCTTAATCATGAAAACAAACAAGATTGTAGCGGAAATTGTTTTACCACTTACTGAACTTTATTCTTCTATTTGTTTTATATGATGAATAACACTGCCTAATCGGGGCCGCCATGTTGAGATCACATGACTAGTTGGATCACATGACCGTAATTTAGCTCAGTAAACGTAATGTTATTTAACACTCTAAATTTATTGTGACTAAAGAAATGTTTGCTTTTGAATTATTCTGCATTCATAAAGTAAAAAAAACAACCAGTCCATGTCATATCCACCATTCAATGACTTTAGTGCACCTTTAACAATGTGACAAAGTTCAACTACCCTTTTTCCACATTAGATAATTGCTATAATACAATGGTAGTTTTTTTGGTGTTTTTTTGGCAGTGTTCAGTCCCAGAAGACATGAGAGATGCTTTATAGTGTCTTGGTACCGTGTCAAGATCACACAGATGAATAAAAACAAGACCAATAACATCCATCCCCTCTGGATTTCAGAAGGTCCATTAGCGGAGCTGGCCAGCTGTCAGTCCTTCCCTCTCTCTCCCAGCGCAGCAAATCACTAGGCAAAGTTTAATGCAATTAAAAGTGCGCAGCATCCAGACCCTGGATTGGGCAGGTAGCCTGTGCCGGGGATCTGTAGTGCTGTGAGCCAGAGCCTGGCTACTGACAGTAATTAGCACATGCTAGTCATTAACAAGCATAGATCGGGCAGTGGCTCATGTGGCGTGCTGCCACGGGGGTGATACGGATGGGTCTGGCCCCCTCCCTCTTTCTAAGCGGTGTGACCATCGGCTCGGCAAAGGCGGCTGCCGGCCCCTCTCGCATGGCTTTCATTACCGAATTTCATAAATCTGTGTAGATTTATGAAAATGACTTTTAAATGCAGCCAATCTCTTTGAGGGCTGAAGCCCCGGTCGGACGCGGAGGGGACCCCGCTGTGAGGTTTTAATGAAAGATCATAGTGGCCCTCCAAGACTGTCAGAGAGCCGCACACCCTGAAAAGCCCAAAATAATCTGTTTTACTTTTAATGGCAGCCATTTTATATTCATTAAGATCAAAATGCTGTTTTTTTTGCTGGCAAATTGCAAAGCTATTCCACTCACAGCTTGAGAAGGCAGAGGCCCCACAGCTTTTTATCTTGCTCATAAGTAAGCATGGGCCTAATGTGTCTAATGTGCTTTGATGGTGCAGAGACCTTCACAGGTGGCAGAGGGAGGTAGTCATCAAACTCACAAGTCAAATCAAAATATCCACTTCTCCATCAGCTTGTTGCTCTCTCTCTCTCTCTCTTTCTTTAACATATGTCTTTGTTGTTTGGCTCCCTTTTCTTGCTGCATTCTTTCCACTCTTTGTCTCCTTGCGTTTTTTGTTTCATTTCCTTGCCTCTTGTCATCTCATCTTGCCCCCTTCTTTTTTTTGTTTCCTTTCTTCTTGTCTACACACTTTTGTTTTTTCCTTTTTTCTTTTCCCCCATATCTATAATCCTCCCATTTCATCTCATCTTCTTTCCTTTCTTATGGTCACATCTTGTCTCCTTTCATTTCCCATTTTCTTTTTCTTTTCCCTTTTTCCTAGTCTCATTATGTCTTCTTTCCTTTTCCTTTTTGGTTTCCTTTCCTCTCATCTCATCTCACTGTACTTCACTTTATCTCATCTTTCTTCTGGTCTTCTCTGGTCTCATCTTTGCCTCCTTTCCATGACATTTTCGTTTCCTTTTCCTTTTTTGTTTCCTTTCTTCTTACCTTGTCTCACTTCTTCTCAGTTCATCTCATCTCCTTCCTTTTTTTTCCTATCTTCTGGCTTCGTCTCTTTTACTTTTCCCTTTCCCGTTTTCTGTTTTCTCATCTCATTTCCTGTTTTCCTTTCATCTGGTCTCATCTTATATTCTTCCCCCCCCTTTTCTTTGGTATGTTTTGTCCTTTCCTTTCCTCTATACTCTTCTCTCATTTGGTCTCATCTCCAATCCTTTCCTTGTTCATTTTAGTTTACTTTTGTCTTGTCTTTTTGCTTAGTTTCCTTGCTTCTTTTTACTATGCTCTAATTCTCATCTCTCTATTTCTCTCTTCCAGGAGTTCATGCTCCCGTTTTCGCAGGTGTGTGAAGGTATAATGATTGACTCTGACACATCTCTGCATAGTCGCATCAAACAGCCACCGCTGCAGCACCGAGGATCTATATTTACCCATCAGCCTCCTTTTCATGGTAATTAGACACATTCCTTCCCTTGCACCCGTTAAATCCTAAATTAGCAATGACTTTAGACAATTTCCATGACAACTGGTTTGTTTAAGTGTGATTGTGATGATGATTTTTCTCCGTTGTGGTATTTTCTCTGTATGGTCACTACAGAGTGTTGTTGGTAAGTTAGTCATGGACCCCATCACAAGAGGTCACGTTGTTTGTTTCTGCTAAAGACATTTATATTACCCTCCTTAAAAATGTTTGCATATTCATATGTTTGTCATTCCTCTGCCTTTCAGACTAGATGTGTAAACAAACGTTGCCAGTGACTAAAAGCACTGTAAATATTTTAAGGTTTGGAAGCATGGTCTTTAGACCATCCGTCCTGCACACTTGAGTTTCTCCCATTGGCCAGCAGAAGGCACAGTTGTAGCATACCCAGTTTGAGAGGTGCACCCCTACACCCTAGTCCTAGACCTTTTCAGCATGTGGGTACCGAGTCCGGGCCAGTGACAGACATGCTGGCTTCAAGCCCACCTCACAGCCCCAGTGGCTGCTGGAGAAATTTAGTTTGATTTCATGCCCTGATGTTTGGTAAAGAAAGCAAAGAGCTTCTTTCACATGGACAAGCTACCTCCAGACTTGCATGTCTGTGAATGTGTGTGTGTGTGTGTGTGTGTGTGTGTGTGCGTCTGGCATGGGTAAGGGAATCTGATAACCTTCCTTCATTCTGTGGGTCTTAGGGGTGAGGTGAGTGTGTCGGGCCCTGCCAAGGCGCTGTTTAATGGGCCTCTGAAAACACTCAAAAGGCAGACACAAATGTGTGTACGGGCAGAGGGCCAGCGCAGGCTCAGACGGGGGGCGCACTGATCTCAAATGGGGGAAGGTTGTGAAGGAATGCTTAAGGACAAAACTGTTTGAAGGAGGAAGGTACGAATCGAGCAAACGGAAGGACTTTAGGAGAAACAGAAAATAAGGAACTGAGCCAGTCAATGGACCGACAGTAGCAATGGGGAGATGGAAGAGGAAAGAAAAATATTTCAAAGTGGAAGCAAAGAGAGATTAGGAGAAAAAAAAAAAAAAACTTAGCGTCTGCATGAGGGAGCTGTTGTCCGATCAAATCCATGAACGGAACACTTTCCCAACCATCCAAATGTATGTGAATAATGAAATAATTGAAGACAGATGTAATCAATTTGTGTCTTGCATATTTCTGATATATATATATAAATCTCAACCTAAAATCTGTAATCTTACTATTAAATGGCAGCGGGTAAAAATGTCTAGCATTAGCAGTGGTGCCGGTTTTATATGTGCTTTGTCGGGATGCATTTCCTCCGAAATGTTGTGGGTATCAAACTGTTATGTTTTAGCCAACCTTGAACACTAAGCTGTTTGTGCCATTAGCGAGTAAATTGAGAACATTTTCTGGTCATAAATATTTCTGACGGGCAAAAACAAACCGAACATCCTCAGGCCAGCAGCATGTGTCCAAATTTCATTCTTAATCGTTCTATTTCATCAGAAACGATCTTAAAAAAAGGGCTTTAAGTATAAAATACCGAATTTGTCCCGCAACATTGATAATAATAAATGCATTTTTTCCACCAAATCAGAATATTAAATACATCAGCATTTTTTTTTTTTTAATATATTTTAAAATATATTAAAATAGAAAACAGTTGTTTTATATTGTAATGTTTCACAATAGTAATGTTTTAACTCTATTTTTGATCAAATTAATTTAGACATGAACATAAGAGCCTTCTTTCAAAATCATTAAAAACTTTTGAACAATAGCATGCATATATATATATATATATATATATATATATCTTTAAGTATATATTTTTCTTGGATTCCAGCTTTCATTAGTTCTCACAATGTGATATTACAGAATCATATCATAAAACACAAACTAAGCCAGCTTTATGTACCAACTTATTAGGCAAGCAAAAGGTACAACTGTATAATAAACCAAAGAACAGCTGAAAAAAAAGAGCCCTGGCCTAAACAATATGTAGTATATCTGTTTTGATATGGAAATACTGAGACATTCACATCCTCAGATTAAATATTAATAAAGTACTGTTTTCTTTTACATGTCCATAATATGCATTATGTATTCCTTTTATTCCACAGTAGGAACGAATAAAAGAGGGAAAAAAAAAACTTCGAAAAAATGAAAATGGTTGGATCAACTCTAATCTCGCTCTGACACCAAAGCAAGATGTGAGGCACAATAAGGCAGCTTTAATAATGAGCGGATGATTGTCAGAGAGCACCTTTCATTGTGTCTTGATTTTTTTTTTTTCTGCATTGATAATAGGACACAAACAGAAAAGGTGTAAGCCAACTGCAAATGTGATATTGCGCGCACATTAAATTCCTATTCCCAAAGATGTATGAAAAACAACCCTTTGTATTGTATTCAAGCGTGTATATGTGTGTGTTTGTGTGGATAATGCAGCAGTGTTTTGACAATGGCTATAAAGTGGAGCAAGTGTCGGGCCCTTGTGTGCAGGTCATCACTCCTAATGCAGAGCGTGTCATCAGTTCCCGGGACAACAGCAGAAACGATGTGGCCGATACATATGAAACAGGCATCATGCATAAACATGGAGTCCTGTGGTGGGAGGGAGGGGGGAGAGAGCGGGACGGCTGTGGCAGGACCAGGGGGTGAGGTGACGTTGCCACGGGGATATTGCTTCTCAGGGTCTTAGCGTAGATGGCTCTTCAACCCTGTTTATTATTCATGAGCTTTGGGGTGGTGTAATAAGCCACACCTCAACTGGGCAGCTGCGGCAGGTCTGTGCTAAGTGATGGATCGTGACAGCGCTGACGGAGAATATATCACCATTAAGATCAAATGCACCTCTAGCACACTTCAGAACAACACACACACACACGTACACACCATACTGGACCTATCTGACTCTATCAGCGCCATCAAAAAGAGAAAAAAAATGTCAGTGTCAACTCACTCCATCTTGAAGAAGGTCACAGATAAACTTCGGCCTGATGCTACAGTGTGAGAGACTGTATTTGCGCTGTGGGTGGTATGAAAAATAATCTTTAATTGAAGTTATGATTAAGCAATGTCACATGAGCAAAAGTTTTTATGGGCTCTATCTTGCACCCGGCGCAAATGACTTTATACACAAACGCATGTCTCATTCCTATTTTGCACGCGCGCAAAGCATGATTTTTCCCTCCACAGACGCACGTCGGTAAACTAGGAAATGAACTTGCTCCCCCTGGGCGGATCGGCGCAAAAAGGAGGCGTGTTTCGGCGCAAACGTTCCCTGGTGCTATTTTACACTTGCAGAAAACAATTGCGCCACTGACCAGAAAAAACCTGGTCTAAAGTCAGTGGCGCGTTGAGCGTTGTTCATAATGCTATTTTAAGCGTGCATGCGCGGCCATAATGTTGCGGTTGCACAACGCGCATACACTTTCATTCTCTCATCAACACAAATGCAGCAGTTTTTATTTTTGCAAATCATACATTATAACAAGTACATTATTAACCATTACATTATTAACCATTTTTAAAGCTAATTGTAGCACTAAAGGATCAGACCTGTTTGCCCAATAGTGGAAAGAAACATACGAATATAATGTTTAACCGACGCTGATGTGCGAGGGTTTCTCCCGTCCCCATACAACGTCACTTCTGTGTCTTTCACTACCCTGACAAGAATGTTGGTCTCCTCGGCTGTGAACGCTCCTGGCGCGCGCCTGGTAAACCCCCTGTTAAAATAACAATCCGTCATGCAACATGCGTACCTGCTCTTAAAGGGTATGTTGGATGGCGCTCTGATTGGTTTATTCCACGTTACGCCCAAACCACACCTATGATTGAATAATGAAGCTACTTCAGACCAACCCCTTTTAGATTTGCGAAAATAGCAACAGCGCCGGGACCCGCCCACAAAGCTACTTGCGCTTTAACACTTGCGTTTCAGATCGTTAAAATAGGGCCCTAAGTGTTAACTGTTCACCAAACAAGAGGTTAGTATTGGGAGACTTTTAGACTCAGTATTGCAGGTTAATGTGTGTGTTTTTGCTCTGTCAAAAAAAAAAAAAAAAAAAAAAATGTTACAAATGAAGCCACAGTAGAATAAACCTATGCGTTTACAAGTGACAGTGAAACAATGAATCAGTGTTTTGTGTTTTTGGTCAAATTAATCAACTGATTTACTTTTGAATAGATAGTTTGAATCAATAATTGAATCAATAATTCATAAAGACAGTATCTTGTTGTATTCCTTAATGAAAAAGTGTTTTTGAATAAATTGGTTAGTAAATTAAATTCACTATATCCACAATTTTTAAGGTCACTCAGCCAATCAAAGTTGGAAAGTGACTTTTTTTAACAATGCCAAAAAACAAATAATTTCATTACAACTGAACCCTGCTTCGTGTTAGACTCCTCAATATCAAATTGTCATCTATTTTGACATTTCACTTTCTATTTTCACATTAATCCATGTTTTTTTGTTGATCTTACATGTAAATGACATAAAATGACACTGTCCTTTCCATTTAAAGCCAAATACATATTTGTACAAAGAGTACAGCAGATTATCTACCAAATTACTCATTTCTACCATCACACTGTATCTTAATACCACCCAGGCCTAATTTACATACAAAGCTAATTCAGTTCACTGATATCATTACCCTCTAATATAGATAGCAGTGCTGCAGGTACAGTATTATTACCATTGACTGTCAGCTAACAGAGGCTTTGCAAAGCCGAGCTTTGCGTCAAGCATTGATTTGTCCCAGGGTGCTTCTGAGAAGTGCAAAGAGCTCCTTAGTCACTTGAACTTGGGTTTTCAGTGATCACACTTCTGTAGATCTGTAAATGTTTGCAGTGTTGTACCGTAGTGCTGCTGCTTTCAAGTGTTAAGTGTTATGGTGGGAAATTGAGCCACAGCTCAGCCTGTACAAACACCTCACTCTTGTAAGCTTGTATTTATACTGTAAATAAAAGCACAGGTATTGGATTTTTT